TCTGCCCCTCCCACCTCCCCCCCCGGCTCACACTCTCTCTCTCTCTCAAATAAATAAAATCTTTTTTAAAAAATGAAATGAGTACCAAACCACACATAAACAGATCTCTTGTGCATATAGAATTTCTGTGTCTGGTTGATTTGTGGAGAATGTGCACCTACCCCAAAGAAAAACTCAAAAATAAGCCTCTTTATGGGTATTTAGTTTAGATATTTTTAAAACTACTTGATGTGGTATACACCTCCAGGCAACATTAAGGACACTTTACTGATATGATGTTTGCTAAGACTGGGGTGAGCAGCCATGTGTGAAAGCAAGACTCCAAAGCAGATAAGAAAGATACTGAAGGTTTCAGCTTTTCGGCCTGTCTGTTCTTCCACAGGCCATATACATAGGCCAGCTCTGTCAGTGGAAGTGAGAACCAGGCCCTGCTCTCTCCATACTCAACTGCTGCCCTCAAGGCCCCAGATAGAACCAGGGTCTAAGAGTATCTATAAAAGACCCCTATGTCATCTTGGCACCAGATCTCCTCCATGAACCAGAGACAAAGTTGTAGAACATGATACAAGGACAAGACACAACAAGTAAACACAACAAAGTTATTGTGCGATGGGAGGAAACACTGCAAGAACACCACACTGTCAACTACAAAAGTCCCAAATGTGGAGAAATGACACAACTGCCATTTTTTTCCAAGCTGAATAGCCATGTGCTATGATAGCAACTTCTGGTGGTATTTGCTGGGAGTCTGAATTAGGCTATTCTCTAAGAAGTGGTAGTAGGAGTACTAGCAAAAATAGCTAGTTGCAGTTCATATTCTAAGTCCTTTATGTATAGTAACTCATTCCATCTTCCTCTAAACCCAGTGGGATATATATTATTTCCATACCCATTTCAGAGATGAAGGAACAGAGCATAGAAGTAAACTGCCAAGATTATATAACTATCAATTGTAGGAGCTACGATGTGAACTCGGGTAGTCTGTCTCCAAAGCCTGTACTTTTCATCTCAGGGGCTGGCACACTTTTCTGTAAAGAGCCAGCTAGTAAATATTACAGACTTTTATACAGTTGCATATTTTTATTGTTTTTTTAATAATCCTTATAGAATGTAAAAACTGATCTTAGCTCAGAGGCGAGACAAAAACAGGCTGCGGGCCCATTGGGACCTGTAAGCATAAATGATATGCTGGTTAATACTATACACGTTGATCAAAGGTTCAAGTATACAGAGGATATGCTATTTGATACCCAGTTCCTTTGGTAAATCCTATATGCCTGTAATACAAATGGGTTTCCGTTGATAAAATAATCCATAATTCTGACGTCATCCCTTTCTCATTTTGTCTGAGTTATGAGGTCTCACTGCCTTTTCCATGAGCCTCCCTCCTAACTACAGCTCCTGTTGCTGGACATTTAAGAAGGAAGAGTAAATGAGGCCAGCATTACCCTGATTCCAAACCCAGATAAAGACACAACAAAAAAAGAGAACTACAGGCCAGTATCTCTGATGAATGTAGATGCAGAAATCCTCAACAAAATATTAGCAAACCGAATCCAACAATATATTTTATTTTTTGTTTTGTTTTTGTTTTTGTTTTGTTTTTTAATTTTTTTAAGATTTTATTTGACAGAGACACAGCGAGAGAAGGGAACACAAGCAGGGGGAGTGGGAGAGGGAGAAGCAGGCTTCCCGCTGAGCAGGGAGCCCGATACGGGACTTGATCGCGGACCCCAGGACCATGACCTGAGCCGAAGGCAGACACTTAATGACGGAGCCACCCAGGCGCCCCCCAACAACATACTTTAAAAATTCATTCACTGGATACAACGGTGGCTCAACATTCACAAGTCAATGTGATACATCACATCAATAAGAGAAAGGATAAAAACCATATGATCGTTTCAATAGATGCAGAAAAAACATTTGACAAAGTACAACATCCATTCATGATTAAAACCCTTGACAAAGTAGGTTTACAGGGAACATATCTGAACATAATCAAGCCCTTATATAAAAAACGCACAGCGAACATTATACACAATGGGGAAAAACTGAGAGCTTCTCCACTAAGGTCAGGAAGAAGACAGAGGTGTCCAGTCTGACCTCTTTTAAATAATGCAGTACTGGAAGTGCTAGCCACAGCAATCAGACAAGAACGAGGCATCCAAGGTAAGCAAGAAGTAAAACATTTACTATTTACAGATGGCATGATGCTATATAGAGAAAACCCTGAAGACTCTACCAAAAAAACTACTAGAACTGATGATTAAATTCAGTAAGATCACAGCATACAAAAATCAATGTACAGAAATTCATTGCATTTCTACACATTAATAATGAAGCATCAGAAAGAGAAATTAAAAAACGATCCATTGCAATTGCACCTAAAATAATAAAATACCTAGGAATAAACTTAACCAGAGGTGACAAAAACACTAATTCAAAGGAATACCATGCACCCCTAGGCTTATTGCAGCATTATTTACAATAGCCAAACTATGGAAGCAGCCCAAGAGTCCAATGTGGTAGATGAATGGATAAAGAAGATGTGGTATATATGTACAATGGAATATTACTCAGCCATAAAAAGGAATGAGATCTTGCCACTTGCACCAACATGGATGGATCTAGACAGCATAATGCTGAGTGAAATAAGTCAGTCAGAGAAAGACAAACACCGTGTGATTTCACTCATACGTGGCATTTTAGGAACAAAACAAATGAACAAAGGAAAAAGAGAGACAAGCCAAGAAACAGTCTTAGCTTTAGAGAAGAAACTGATGGTTACCAGAGGGGAGGTGGGCCGGGGGATGGGTGAAATAGGTGATGGGGATGAAGAGCACACTTACCTTGATGAGCACTGAGTTTTGAATCACTAAACTGTATACATGAAAATGAGTAAAACATTGTATGTTAACTACCCTGGAATTAAAAGAGAAAAAAGGGGGAGGGGGACTGTGAGGATGGAATAAGAGCTTCTCTTCCAGCCACTTTTAATCTGTCATTGGCTTTCTCTCCATGCTGATTATTATATATGGAAGTGACTTTAGACAGTATGGAATTGGACTGGAGTCTGTTCTCTTTTTGACTGATTAGAAATAAAGGCATAAATAGGCCTAAAACTTTAGGCCTATCACTTTTCTGGGACCAGACATTAATTAAAGGGGTTAACACTAGTAGAACCAGCAACCTGGCATCTAATCTTTGATCATTTTCCTGAAAGCTTAAAATGCCTTATAAAGAGACATGGTTTATGAAATGGATTAGTATCACAACGGAACTTCATGCTTTCTAGATACTTCCTGTATGCTTGAAGATTCAAAATGTCATCACAGCATTCTAGGCAAGGCTACTAGTGGAGAAATCACTGTGTTATGTTAGTAGGTTGGCTCAAGATTAAATCTTGGACTTGCAAATAAATCCTGGTCATTTTTTTGACACCTCTATGGTACATAATATAGAACTGTGCCTCATGTAATAAGTGTGAGGAAATCCTTGCTTTGGTTATATCAGTTTGAAACTTAAGAGAAAACTTACAGAGGTGCCTTTCAAATTATTTTGACCACCACCTGTGAAAAAAATATATACCAAAAAATTTTATCATGATACAATCCATATCTACCTACACACATACGTAAAACCAAAACAAAGTTTCAGAAGCAACACTATTCTTCCTACATTTGAGACATTTCTGATTGTTTTCTAACCATTCTACTTTGTTTAAATTTTGGATGCTTCTCATACCACCCAATTTATTTCATAACTCATTAATGGGGCTTGACCCCATTTGAAAAACAGTTCCTCAGAAGACCCTCATACTCACACTGCTCATATTTACAAGAAGCAACCGTTTTGAGGTCCTTGTGTATCTTTACAGCTAGTTTGATTTATTTGCTGAGAAGCAACTATGTGGAAATCACTGTGTGAGGCTCTGTGGAAAGTGTAGAGTTTTGCTTTCAACTACCTCAAGCCAGGAATTTTCTGAGTTGCTAAGGAAACCAGGATGAACAAAAGGACCTATTATCTCTGCCCTCATTGACTTTATAGTCTAGTGGATTAAAGAAACTCGAACTGCAGGAATTTTGGGAAATAAGTCATTCACTTGACTTTGTTTACTAAATAAATCATCCACTTGACTTTATTAGCACTTTCTGGGTAGAAGGTATGTTTTTCTTATCTAGGAAGGTCAGTCCCATTTCTCTAGGACCAGATCTCTCCGTAATCATTAGTGTTCAGTGATGCTCCTCCTGACCTTGCCACTTATGTGAAATCCATTGTTATATGCTCTTAGAGCCCCCACGACTTCTCTCTTTACATTTAGTGGGAGTTTTAATTGTCCATTAAGTTATGACTATTTCATCTATAAGTGTCTCTCTCTATAGGGAGCCCTTACTAAACTACAGGCTCCAAAAAGGTAGAGATTCCATTTTTACTTTGCTATTACTATATCCCCCAGTACTAAGCACTGTGATTAATGAGTAAGAAGTGTTTAAGAAATATTTATTGAATAAATGAATGGGTATCCTAAGGTCATCTGGAATGTTGTCTTAAACAAGGTACTCTGGTTTCGCCTAATCTTTATTATTTATTAGCAACTAAAAAACAACTGATAATCCTTCACATTGTTCTTTTTGTTTGTTTTGCAGTCAACTTTGACCACTTTGAAATTTTGCGAGCCATTGGGAAAGGCAGTTTTGGGAAGGTGAGAACCAAAATGATTAACCACCAGCAGGGTCATGTAGCTCAGGGAACAGAGTCTGAGAATGTTCAGATTATTTCAGTTACTGGGACCACAAGAAATGATAATTCAGAGAGGTTTTTATAAAATTGTCACTAGAGTTTGAGGTGTGTGATATAATGGACATCTGTTGTTCTCAGAATTATTTCATTGTCATGCCCATTTACTCTCACTAGATTTTAAGACTTTCTCTCCACTCTAAAATTTTGGACTCAGTTGCCAATTGTACCCATGCCTTTGGTAACACTTACCTGTCAATGTAAAAGTTAATTCTTTTTTTTTTTAAGATTCTATTTATTTATTTTAGAGAGAGAGAGAGAGAGAGTGAGAGAGCGTGTGGGCGGGGGGAGGGGCAAAGTGTGAGGGAAAAGTAGGCTCCCCACTGAGCGGGGAGCCCAACAGTGGGGCTCGACTCCAGGACCCCAGGATCATGCCCTGAGCTGAAGGCAGATGCTTAACCGACTGAGCCACCCAGGCACTCCAAGAGATAACTCTTTTTATGTGGAAAAGATATCTCTTTTTCCTCCAGTTATACCATGTTTTTATTTTCAAAAATCGACCATGAAAGATAGATCCAGCCTAATTTTTTTGCAAGAAACTTCTAGATTCAAATCCTGATCATTAGTTTCTTGGTAGAGACATACTTTGAGAGTATTTCTTATTTCATATTGAACTTGGATTTTAAAATCATCTCCTGCCCACTTTATCAGACATCTAGAACCTCTAAAAGAATTTCAGAACCATGGACATCATGTGCAGTGCTTTCCCAGTGCTTTAAGTCCTTTTAGGTTCTATCAACTACTGTGTAAAGAGAAATTCTTGGCGCAGTGTTGTTCAGCTCGGCAGTTTAGCCGTGCCCATATCAGTCACTCGAAGCAGAATAGCATGTCATTGGCTGTTGGAAGATTCCTGACAAGGAAGCAGCTATTTTCTCCAACATGCTGTCTAAACAAAACCCAAAGAGCAAAAAACAGGCAGGCTTGCTTGAGAAAACAGAGATTCACGAACTGACCTGATACAGGGGAAGAAAATGAAATTTTCTACTCTGAAATCAGAGCTAAGCAGCAATGTCAGCATCAGAGAATTTGCAAGCGGTGAGGCCTCCAGGCCATGCTTTTGAGAACCTCCTGTCCTGTCTCCCATGGCCGTGATCTGTCAACTCCCTGACCACTTTCTCATTCTGGTTTGTGCCATTAGGTCTGCATCGTGCAGAAGAACGATACCAAGAAGATGTACGCAATGAAGTACATGAACAAACAAAAGTGCGTAGAGCGCAACGAAGTGAGAAATGTCTTCAAGGAACTCCAGATCATGCAGGGTCTGGAGCATCCTTTCCTGGTTAATTTGTGGTAAGTGGTTTTACGGGATCTCTGAATGGAGTCATTTCTACCTTCACCCCCAAACACTGTTCCCTAAACCCATCTTGATTTCCAGGTGTGCATTTGCAAAATCTTCAGTAGGCTCTTCCTCAAGGGCTTTGGTTCTCCTTGATTTCTTTGGCTTTAAATGAAACAAATTGTTGTTTTTTGTCACGAATAAATACTGCTTGTTTTGTTTTTGTTTTTTGTCACAGTTCCCCCGGTCCTTGAGGACCATATATTTTTTAAAACATGGCAGCTAAATAGGCTGACAAAGAATGAGTTCAGATGTCTTGTCATTCGTTGAGATACTTTTCCCCCATTAATTGTGGGGCAGCGACGTTGGGTACTAAGTAGGTCATCAATGGCTGAGGGGAGGTTGATCTTGAGAACTTGTACAAAAAAGCACTTGCTCTCTAGAATGACTGGCAGTAGACATGGATTCCTTGTAGCGTCCTTCTCGAGCGGCCACATATATATACCTGGGAGCTGGAAAAGGACAGGTGCTGCCTTTCTCACCAAATAGCTTCTAACAGAGCTGGAGCTAACTCAGATCAGTGGCTAGACATTAGGTAACTGTGATCTCCTCCCAAAGTCAGGATCATAATCCAAGGCTTAGAAAATGGCTAGAAGCTGGCTGTGTCTCTTACTCCCTGCTCTTTTCTTATGCGTGGAGGTCTGTATGTGGCTCTCTCATTTTCCTCTACACTTTAATGCATCCATTATGTTAAGAGCCTATTCTTAAAGCTAATTCAGTGTGACTGTTACTTAAATATGCATACCAAGCATTTTCTACTAGCGAAGGCAAAAAAAAAAAAAGAAGAAAGTATTCAGAGAATACTTATGGAAAAATAATTGGAATGTCACTGTGTGTTTAGGGACATTTCTCTGGAGGAGTTAATGCATAAAACCTGTCTCCCTCCATCCTTAATTAATACAGTTCACTTAATATACACTTTGCTCCAAGACTCCACACCATAGTTGAAAATATGGTTCTGTGTGACCTGGAAATGGGTCCCTTTGGTTCGTGCCCTCCTCAGACACAGTGGAGTCCAATTCTGGCCCACGCTCGGTGTATTTAATCAGTAGCTCAGAGTGGCCTATTCACAGCGTTGCCACGCAGTGTTACATAGATGCGGCTCTTTCTTCCCCACGTTTAGCAATCACCAGATTGACTTTCCGCCCCCCCCCCACCCTGACAATGACAAGGTGCTCTCAATTCACATCCTCCCTTTGTTCAAAGTCACATTTCCTTCTTCCAAAGTTCAGCCAACTAATTCTCTCCTTTTAAGACCAGGAACCCTTCAGAAGGACAGAGCATTTCCCCCTTTCATGCCGGTCCCTCATCACTGAATAATCAAAACGGATTTCAGTCCCTTCCCGTTTTTATTTATTTTATTTTTTTGTGAGGTGGGTGTTAGGAGACTTGAAGCTAGCCAAAGTTTACCGATTCTGCCGTAACTTGTCAATGCAGGCAACTCTCTGTGCCCCACGCATGCGGACTTGGTGATAACGTGACATAGAGCCTAGCCTTCCTCTCACACGGAACCACGCAGGACGGCGGACACCATTAATAGTGATGGAGGAGAGAGAAGAAATCCGCCCCACCTTAATTCTAGTACCACATTCAGAACTGTAAACTGAGAGGGGGGCATCCTTCAAGTATAGCAGAAAACTTACAGTCTTTCAAATCCTGAGATAAAAATTGTCAGAAAGCATATTTATTCCTTCTAATAAAGGCTTTCTGCCTCAGTAAGTACAACATAAGAAATGTAAGTGACTCTCCAACTATTAAGCACCTTGCAATACTTCTGGAGGTGGGACCTGTGAGCAATACTCAACATTTTTTGTAAGATTTTATTTATTTATTTGATAGAGCACAAGCAGGTGAAGAAGGAGAGGGAGGGGGAGGGGGGAAGCCAACTCCCCACTGAGCAGGGAGCCCAACGCAGGGCTCGATCCCAAGACCCTGAGATCATGACCTGAGCTGAAGGCAGCCGCGTAACTGACTGAGCCACCCAGGCACCCCCGTCTTTATCATTTTTAAGTCACATGGTTATAAGACGAGGTTGATGTGTGTAACTTGGGGGTTGTTTTTATGAACAAAATGAGATACAGTGCCATGCCCAGCACAGAGCAAACATCATATAAATGGGAGTTCTTTCCTTTCCTTGCTCCATGAACGTGTAGCATTCTGAACATGTCCGTCACTGCTGGGTCACTGTGGGCTACCCCAGACACAAAGTCCAGAGGTGCTCAGCCTCAAAACATCCCAGGAAGTTATGTAAATGGTGGGGGAGGGCCAAGTCTTCAACTCATTCTCTGTAAGAGCTTATGTTTGTTTTGATTTCCACCCTCATTCTGCAAATCAAAGAACAAAGATTCAGAGATCCCCCATTATGTACAATTTAATCAGCATTTTGTGTCCTAGGTTTAGCTCGTTTTATCTTTACATTCCCAAAGCTTCAGGAGCCAATTTTCTTAAGAAGCACTGTATGATTAATAATGTAACAGCAATCCTTTTGAATTCCTGTGTACCCCTTGTGTACTCTATTGTATTGGTAAGCTACGTAGGCCTCTCAATATTGGTTTCAGTAGTCTTCTTGTGGATACTCAAAGTGCCGCTAACCCCTAAGGATGTGTTCAGAAAATTCTGGTTTTTAGGCTGAGGAAAAACACAGACTGTTTCTTTCAAGCAGGTTTTACACCAATGTTAAGAAGTTGGGGGGCGCCTGGGTGGCTCAGTTGGTTAGGCGACTGCCTTCGGCTCAGGTCATGATCCTGGAGTCCCTGGATCGAGTCCCGCATTGGGCTCCCTGCTCAGCAGGGGGTCTGCTTCTCCCTCTGACCCTCCCCCCTCTCATGCTCTATCTCATTGTCTCTCTCAGATAAATAAATAAAATCTTTAAAAAAAAAAAAGAAGTTGGGGTGTGTGTGTGTGTGTGTGTGTGTCTAGAGGTATAAATACATACATATGTGATATGTGAAAACTGTACACACGGCAGTCAACTTGAAGAACAGAAAAATCACATAGAAAAATGAAAATTCTCCAATAATGCTACCACCTTGAAACAACCACTTCCAACACGTTGGTATGTACTTGCCAGAAAATGTCTGCATTTGGTTTTCTGCTTTTAATCGTGCATTAGCCCCATTCATTCCCTCATTCATGGATATATTTACCGAGCAACACAAACAAGGTAGAATTAGGGTTGCCGGATAAAATACAGGACACCCAGTTAGATTTGAATTTTAGAAAAATAACCAATCATTTTTAGGACATGTCCCAAATATTACACAGCACCTATTTTATCTGAAAACTATTCATTTTCCAAATTTCTAATGTAAGTGGGCACCTTGTATTTTTATTTAGTAAATTTGGCAACCCTAATTGTAACACAAACTCAGAGTAGGGGGATGCAGTGGTGAGCAGTGGTGGGCAGAGCCCCTGATCGACCCCATATTTCCAGTAACTGTGAGAGGCTCATATTAATCAAAGGATATAAAAAATGTATCCACTCTGAGAAGTGCATGAAGGACTAAGTAGAACAGGAGTGTGTGTGTGTGTGTGTGTGTGTGTGTGTGTGTGTGTGTCCTTGTCTGGGGCAGCAGAATTAAGGGTGAAAACACATTTTGAATTAAAATTCAACCTTCCCAGCCTCCGCAGACCTGACCCCACTCGGGAACACAGTGGTCGGATGTAGGCCGCGTTATAAGGCGAAGGCTGCCTGACAGGGCTGGCGTCCGGGGAAAAGCAAATAAAATCTTCCTGCGAGTCCCTCCCTGAGGGCTGCTCACAAAGCCCTGGCAACCAACTAAGCCTGTAGGAGCACAAGCCCCGCTCCTGCTCCTCGGGGCGCCATGCTGCCCTCTCCCTCGTCTCTTGTTCTGGGAACAGAAGGGGCCCACGTGTGGTCTCAGGAAATGAGAAGACAAGACCGTCTGTTTTAAGTGGAAAGGACCACCTCTATCGGGACTGTGAAAAGGGGGTCCTGTCAGAGAGCTGAGCAAGGCCGAATAAATAGAAATCAACCTCCATTTCTGAGGACTCCACACCAGTGTCTCTCCACAGACTCAGGAACTGTGAGAACTCAAGGTCGCCTCCAGAGCCACAGAATCAAAAAGACCTTCCCTGCCAATGGACTTCTGTTACTTAAGAGTTTTGACCCTATTGTCTCATTTACTCATCCTAACGATTTAGGTGGGTAGGGATTATTAGTCCGATTTTACACCAGAGAAACAGAGGCTCAGAGAGGCTGAGTCATTTTCCCAGCACCACACAGCCAGGAACTGACGGAGCCGGGACTCAAGCCCAGGCATTCTGGCTGCAGAAACCCTGCATTTCCTGCTACACTATCCCATCCCCTATGGACATCTTACAAATTAGGAGGGAAACATAATTTATTTTCTTTATTGTCTTTTACATCCCACAAGAATACAAAATCCATGAGGCAGGTATGTTTGTATATTTTGTTTACTGCTCCCACGGTAATGCCTTGCACACACAGTAAGGGTTCAACAGATCTCTGCTGAATGAATGAATGAATGAATGAATGAATGAATGAATAATGGAGTTGGTGATGGCACCAGGCTTCAGGTTTTTCTCTTTGCCCAATCTACCACTTCCTGCACACTCAAAAACACCCCCTCATTTACTCAGGCCCACTCCAGGTTCTTGGCAGGCCCTGAAGTGAGAGGGACAGGAGTTTGAATCCTTGCTTTCCCACTTGGTAACTGGGAATTGACCAAATTACACTGTGTATTTGCTTGGCTTCCTCCTCCATAATTGGGCATAACAGCAATACCCAGGGCAGAAGGTATTACTAAGAATAAGAATATATTTATAAAACACCTCACACATAGTAGGTGCTTAATATATGAGGACTTATGGGACACCTGGGTGGCTCAGTTGGTTAGATGGCTGCCTTCAGCTCAGGTCATGATCCCCAGGGTCGAGTCCCGAGCCTGCTTCTCCCTCTGGCCCTCCCCCT